ATATCCTTGGGAACCCTATTTTGCCAGTATTTCCACTTTTTGTAATGAAACTAATCAAAATTAGTTGTTTATAAAGCACAATTATTTATATATTTATGTTTAATCATGTGTCAAAATTTGAGAATGAAAAAAAAAAGAATAATTTTTATATTTTTTGTTACATGCTTTGAATTAAATACAAAGACGCAATTATGGGTGGAGATCATATAATACAAGTTCTATATTCCAATATCCGTTGCCCTAATATACTGAGTATTGTTATAATCAAGATGAGTCAGCGATTACCTTAAGTAGATTTCAATCGTGGTGCTGTAATTTGGACAGCAATTCTTAACTTTTTTGTGCAGATAAAAAAATAGAATATAAAAATATTCATGAGCATACAGGATGTTTTAGAAGACACAAGCATAATAGTGTATGATCAAAAAGAATGGCGAAAAATTGTCATGACGATCGATGCCATTCACCATGTAAAATGACAGTGATCGTCATTTGCAAGCCAAATTTGATGTTTTAACTTATATCTATCAATATCGATAGGATAATATTGAGTGAAATTTAGCACATTGTATTGTTACAGATATTAAAAAGAATACTTCACATTTTGAAGAATAGTTGAAGACATAAAAGCTAATAGCAAAGCAACGAAATTTAATACATTTCGTAGGCAGGTGTGTATGTTGAAGCTGTGAAAGGATTGGCGCTTTTTTGTAGATCATTTGTAAGAGCAGCAAAAAATGTTCTGATTTGTTTGCTTTTATCGACAATACAGTAAAAGAGTTCTTAAGTACATCAGATTTGTATTACTCCAGATATCTTGTATAAGATATAATCAAAAATTTCCGGTTTCATATACACCAACATTATCATTATCATGACCCAAGTCTTATAGATAAAATTTAGATTGGTTCAAGAAACGAAAAATAAATTTGAAATCGAAATTTTGTCAATATTTAGCCAGACTTCTCGCAGGATACTTTTAAAATGAAGTTACTGTTGTGTTTGTTGAGTAACGTATAAGGTAAAAATACAAATTCCGGTACCTAGTTTTACATTTTTTGGTCCACCCTAAAGCAGAATACAGCTAGGCTCATGAACTAAACTAAACATATTTCTACACTCAGATGCAAAAAAACGCAATGGAGAAATTTTTGGTCAAATTTAAAGTGTTATATTTTCGTTATTTTTAGCCCAATTTGTATGATTTTTTTAGCAAACTGTATATGATTATATGAACTTTAATACGTAAACTCAGTTTTTATTGTCTTTAATATTTGGCATATTATACATAGGAATACGCTTAAACCAAAGATACAGTATCCAGCTGATACACTGCTATGCACCTACAAGCTCAGCGAGCAGTGAATTGATTGAGGAATTATATGAAGACATTAGCCGGGCTAGGAACCTTGAAAATACACATTACGTAATCATAACTGGAGACTTTAACGCCAAGATAGGAAAGAAGCAACCGGGTGATAACTACATAGGAAACTTTGGTCTCGGGAAAAGGAACGACAGAGGAGACTTTAAAGGATGCTTGTAACTTTCTCAACAACGAAAAATTATACTGTATGAATACTTTTTATCAAAAACAAACTCAGAAAAAATGGACATGGCGGAGTCCAGACGGACGAGTAAAAAATCAAATAGACTTTATCCTCACCAACAAGAATACAATCTGTAAAGATGTCGATGTGTTAAACAGTTTTCATACAGGAAGTGACCACAGACTAGTACGCGCCAAAATACAAATCTATACTAATATAGAAATTAGAAAATTAATTACCAGATCAATGTTTCCTACAAGGGACGCTCTGCAACTAAATCAGGAAACTTATCAAAAAGAGCTTGAAAAGAGACTAAAGCCACAGACACTCAGAGATCAAGACCCCAACGACATTCTCAATAATCTAAAGCAGGGCATAACTACAGCAACAAAGAAAATATGTAGTAAAATGAAACACCCTTCGGAAACTAAATTAAAACCAGAAACGACAAAACTAATAAGGGAAAGAAGAAAGACTGACAGAGATACCCCAGAATATGACACCTTAAATAAAACAACTAAAAGAGAAATAAGAAAAGATCTAAGGGATTATAAGAGAAACCAAATTTTGGAAACAATTGAAAACAATAGAAGCATGAAAGTATTAAGACGCAAGCAAATGCGCGGAAAACAAAAAATAATAAAAATAAGAAACACACATGGCACTATAACAACAGACAAACATGAAATTAGAAATGAAATTCACAAATTCTACGAACAACTTTATCAGTCTGTTATACCAAACAAAGGTAGAGTACAAAAACACATCACAAACGTAGGATCAGAAGATATGCCAGAAATATCAACCACAGAAATTAAATACGCACTTCAACAAATAAAAAATGGTAAAAGCCCAGGAGAAGATCGTATTACACCTGAAATGCTGAAGATGGGCGGAAAACCATTAGTGGATGCCGTGGAAGTATTGTTAAATAAATGTCTCATGAAGGGTAGAATCCCGGACGCATGGAAAAACCCAGAAGTTGTGCTATTATACAAAAAAGGAGATTTTACAAATATAGAGAATTATAGACCAATAAGCCTTCTCTCGCATCTATACAAGCTCTTCACTAGGATTATCAACAACCGACTGTCTACGAAACTAGATTCCTATCAGCCAATAAACAGGTAGGCTTTCGAAAAGGTTTTAGTACTATCGATCATCTACAAACAATTAAAACAGTCATTGAAAAAACAACAGAATACAATATACCTCTACATTTGGCCTTTATAGACTACCAAAAAGCCTTTGACAGCATCGAAACCTGGTCATTTCTAGCTGCAATGGAGGACGCGAGAATTGATTCCAGATATTATTCCATTATTAAAAATATCTATGATAGGCAACCTTCCAAGTTAAATTAGATGATGACCTCAAAACAGAAAAAATACTACTCGGCAAGGGCGTGAGACAAGGAGATACCATCTCTCCCAAGTTATTTACACTGGCACTGGAAAATGTCTTCAAGAAATTAGAATGGGAAAATAGAGGTCTAAACATCGATGGGGTACACCTTAGCCATCTGAGGTTCGCAGACGATATTGTCTTGCTGAGCACCGACATTCAAGAACTAAACACCATGCTAAATGAGCTAAATGACCAATCCCAGAAAATTGGCCTTAAAATGAACTTGAAGAAGACCAAGATAATGAGCAACAATATCCATAACATTACCGTTGACAACGTTATTATTGAAAACGTAGACCATTATATATATTTAGGTCATAAAATCAAGCTGGGCAAGGAAAACCAAAATACGGAGATCAAACGCAGGATCCATTTGGCATGGGTAGCATTTGGAAATATGAGCAATATTTTCAAGGATAAAAAGGTGCCCATGAACCTAAAGAAAAAGGCTTACGACAGCTGCATTCTACCTGTGCTTACGTATGGCTTAGAGACTATGGCAATTACCCGAAAAACAGCAGAACAACTACGAGTAGCACAAAGAGCCATGGAAAGAATCATGTTGGGAGTCACCATTAGGGAAAAAATACGGATACCCACATACGTCAAAAACAAAATTAATAGATGTCGTTAAAAGAGTGGCAAGTCTGAAGTGGCAATGGATAGGACATGTGGCAAGACAGGATCCAGACCGATGGCCCCAAAAGTAATCCTATGGAGACCTAGGGGAACAACAAGAAGTGTAGGCCGACCAAAAAAGAGATGGGTCGATGACGTCAGGGCAGTGGCGGGAAGACAATGGATAAGATTGGCTAGAGATCGCGAAGCATGGAAAAACCTAGAAGAGGCCTATATCCAACACTGGATGGAACCAGGCTGAGAAAGAAGAAGAAGAAGATATTATACATGGTTATCAAGGGGTTGTTTTTTTACTTAACTTTAAAACACCCTGTGCAATAATTTAGTGTGTAAATTTTTCTAAAATATAATTTTACGGTCAGAACCATAACTCCTGAGCATTTTGTTTTTTGATTCATGTCAATACATGCTTTGGTTAATTTTTAAGAGCGAAATGGATCGCGATCAATTTGCAATTTTTCAATTATCATTACTTTTGGATGTAATTTTTTAATATGACGAGATGGTTTTGGTGACAATTGTCGTAACGTCATATTACGCTGCATTGGATACTCTATACTATATTTAAAAAAAACCTCAAAAACTAACGATACAGTTCGGGTTTTATAAAATAAACATTACTAACGATATTAAAGAAAAAATCCGTAATACTCAAGTATACAAACAGAAAACAAAAATTGTAAAAATACCCTAATACTTTGTATTGTCTCCCTTGACTGCTATAACTGCCTGTATACGTCCGCTCATGCTGTCATTGATGCTGCATATATCATATTGCGTTATGTTTCCCCATTCTTCTTTAAGGACCAAGCGAAGTCCATTTAATGAAGCTGGTAACGCTTCGCGACCTCTAACCCTTTTACCAAGCATTTCGTCGATCAAAACGCCAAATCAAAACGTCGAACATGATGGGCAGTTCATAGTAGTGTATGTGTAAAATGTGTATAGTTCACAATAATCACCAAATCCGCCTTATCATATTGAAAAATTACTTCAAAAGAAATGATAATTGAAAAAAATTGCAAATTGTTGTTGGCAAGTTCATTTCGCTCATAAAAATTAACCAAAGTATGTATTGACATGATACATAAAATAAAATGCTCAGGAGATATGGTTCTGACCGTAAAATATGGTAAAATTATAATTTAGAAAAATTGACACACGAAATTATTGCACAGGGTGTTTCAAAGTTAAGGTAAAAAAACAACCCCTCGATTAACCCTGTATAATATGCCAAATACCAAGTTCATTTTAATGGTAATGGTAAAAAATGGTATGTTTTATAAGAACAAATGCTTTCTGAAAATAGAACTCTAATTCTCAATTTTAAATATATTTTTATAATTTAGTATTATATTATATATTTTTTTGTATTTAGATCTATATTTAAAAATAACCACTTACATGTCAAAAGTAATACCAATCCGAAGGAAAGAAAATCAGGATACGGGCTTAGGTAGTTAACATTCATTGGGACCCATTCTTCAAAATGGTCCCTGATAGTATTATTAGTCAGGGCATCTATGTAATTGCTTAAACCACGAGCCACACTAGCCGTACCTGCAAGAATAAAAACATGTATTCTATTTTACTTCATGTAATTGTGCCAAATTGCATTGATAATACTTACCAATAACATATTCCAATATTAAGTTCCATCCTATAACAAAAGCTATGAATTCCCCTACACTAACGTAGCTGTAAACGTAAGCTGAGCCGGCTTTCGGCACTCTAGCTGCAAATTCCGCATAACAGACTCCTGAAGCAAAATATGGATGTCAAATAAAAACCTAGATGTTAGGCGGTATATGGCGGTGTACATAGAGATATTATATCGAAAGAAAACTATAGTTTCATTTGCAATCAATTACTTGAAAAACTATTTTAAAAATAAATATTTTCTATGCAAAAAGTACTGCTAGTAGTAATCTAAAAGAAGTGCAAGACTTCCTTTAGATTGTTACTCGAAGATCTTGCAAGACCAAGACTAATTATTAGACTGAAAGACAAGGATATTTTGGTATTGCATTTTTTGCTCATCACTAATGACGACTTCTAAACCCATTGGAAATTTTTTCTCTGGCTGACCTTACTTACTTACTACCATTACTCGTTGACGAGTATTTGACACGCATCAGAAGATGGTTACGTTTCTTTCATGAGCTTTTCCGTGACTGGAAAGCCCGACACGTGATGTTATCTCTCTTCCGTACTCCGGACATTCAAAAATCTCATTACTTTGTTGCCTCTTTACTTTTTGGTTGTCGTTGTTAACTGAGTTTATAATTCTTCGCCATTGCGTTTTATTGGGCGCTGCTTCTTCCCACTGATTCTGCATGTTTCCTCTTTAAGTTTTCATGGAAAATATCCTTGTATCTTTTGAGTTGTCCACCCAGTTTCTTTTTACCGTCTACAAGCTCACCGTAAAAAAGAGATTTCGGTATGCAGTTTTCTTCTACATCTAGGTATATCAAAAATAAAGATAAATAGAAATTGTAGGGTGTCTTGATCTGACAAACAATAAGTAACGCAACGATTCAACAAGTGAGTGGTTCTTTTCCAGATATTTCCGGACCTGTTACGTGATTACATTGATATCTATAAGTACTACAGCTTGACTACGTTATTACTTAAGGGTAATTAGTATATGAAGCCATTATCCAAATAACTATCAAGTATATTTGATTCGTATTCAATATTAGGTCGAGAGAGGAATGTAATTAATGATATTCCTTAATTAATTCTTTGTATCAATGAAACTATTGGTTTATTTTGTATACTTTTTGTATATCTCAAATTTAACTAAATATATTGAGAAGACCTTCAAATTCCAATTTAAAATCAATTTTTTTTTATCAAAATTGAACAATGAAGTTTTTTATGTCAATTATTATTTTGTCTCAGTGGCGTAGCTAAAAAATTCGGCCGCTGGGTTCAAACCATTAATTAGCAACCAAATTATATTTAAGTACCGTATGATCGAATAAAAACGGTGTCAGCGATGGATATGAAATGAAGATCGCTGTCATTTTATATGTAAATTTATATGTATATATATATTTCCCAGCCAACTGGACGCCGTTTTTTTTTTCGATCATACGGTATTTCATATGCTTTAAAATAAAATTTATGTAAATTAGTCAAAAAGATAAATAATAATCTCATATTTGTATCTTACACTAGAAATATTAATATACCGGGTGCGTCTCAAAAGTGGCTCACCCCTATAATTTTTTTTATTTTTTCATATAAAAAAAAACGAGATTTGGTACGTTGACATATGGTATATGACATAAATTAGGATTGATTGACGTATTCAATTATTTTTGGTCACTTCCTGTTTCACCGGAAATGACTATAACTTTTGATTTTTAAATGGCGTCCTCGGTATTTTTTTACTTTATTCGATAGAAAATGACATTCTGAATAGAAACATATCATATGTCAACCTTTGACATTCTCGCTTATTAAAAAATCTTATTTTAAAATTCAATCTAGAGGCTATGTTAAAAACACTAATACTTAATCGAGGAGCCTTGGAGAAATAGATTTGATGGTCTAATGTTTTACGTGTTTTGTCCTGGCCAGTTAGAAAATGCTCAAATCGTATTTTTAATAATATCTCAGTTTTTTCATATGGAACGAGGGTGGCTCATTAGCACATTTGGAAAAAGCATTTTTTTACGAATAATTTGATACCACACACTTGGTATTTCGAGTCAAATTTTCGTTACGAACAGCAAGTTATAATTTCAAATAATCCATATGCGAAAATGTCAAAAGTTGACATATGATATGCCATTCTACTCAGAGTGTTATTTTCTATCGAATAAAGTAAAAAAAATACCGAGGGTGCCATTTAAAAATCAAAAGTTGTAGACGTTTCCGATGAAACAGGAAGTGACCAAAAACAATTGAATACGTCAATCAATCCTAATTTATGTCATATACTAACATACCAAATTTCGTTTTTTTAACTGAAAAAAATAAAAAAGTTATAGGGGTGAACCAATTTTGAGACGCACACGGTATTCCTACTAATAAACATTTTTGAAATTTCTTCTCCAGTTTGAATTAACACAAATTGGTGGATAATAAATCAAAATTAATTAATATAACCTCTACTAATCTATCATACTGTAAAAAAGTTTTCAGAATTTTTCATGTTCTTTTTTTAGACCATCCGTTTATATACAGACTTTTTCAGCGTCTATTTTACTTTGGCGCTATTAGGCTAGTACCACACCATTTTCTCCCCCTTCCCCTGGTAGATACGGCTCTGTAGTCTTCATATTTATTTACTTATTTTTTAACAATGTTTTCTTAGTAATAAAGGATCAATCATCTGTTAAATATATAAAAATGAAAACTGTATAAAATTGCGGTTTATTATTACATCATTGAAAACGCTAAAAAAATTGCTTCTTAACATTGTTAACCTGTTTATTAAACTGGTTTCTTAAGTTGGATTTGATTGGGGTACAGGGGCCCTTGATATAACAAAATACTTCATGTGATTTTATTTCTTCAAATTGATGCGCCTGAATTTGTTCAATTATAAATAATTGCTTGTGTTTATTGAAGTCATGTCAAGACGAATATTCTAATAGGCAATTTTGGGAGAAAAAACGATGGAATATGAGAGATAATAAAGACAGAAGCGATAGCAAATATAGTTGGCTTGTGTGTCTAGAAAGCTATACAAAAGATCATGCTTTGTTTGAAATAAATTATAGTATATATACATCTCCTAGGTATTAAGGTTAGGTTAGTTTGCTGGGGTTTGGGATCATGTTTGATCCCTCACTCGGAGGCCTTGAGCACTGAATTATTGTACTGAATCTTCCTTTCATTCTTTCTTTGCGTTAAAACACTTCCAACTCTTTGCAAAGTTCCTGATGTCGCTGATGTTGGCTTCCTGCTGCTTCCTCTAGTCTCTCCAGAAAACCTTGCCCTAAAATTTTAAAGCGTTGGTATTCCAGTGCCGGACAGTGACACAGCAGCTGCTCTGCGTTTTTTTTTCTTACCCTCTTGAGGCAGTTTCCAGCGATGGACTAATAATAATTTTCCATTTCCACCTTTTACTAATAATAATTATACGTATAATTATGCGTATTAGGTTCTTGCTGCGCTCTAGTAGTGTTTTGGCTATCTACCGCTGGCTACAGTCTTCAAGCTGTAGCGCAGTTCTCATTCTCCTAGGTATTAGGGTATTACTATCTGTATACTGTATCTATAACGATAAAGAAAGTACCAAAAGTAGTACTTTCTACCCTAATGGAAAGTACCCTTTAAGGGCAGTTACGTAATTTTATACACTGGCCATTCGCTTTGGCATTAAACTATGTGTAAGAGTACCAAATTTCAAGAGAAACAACTTTTTCGGGAAGCATTATTCATAGGCACTTTTTGTTTTATTTTTATCTGTAGAATTTCACACCAAAGTTTGATACACTATTTTTTTGACTGTATACAGGGTGGCGTCTCTAATTCGCCGCGGAAGCTCCAAGGAGAACGGTAGTTTATATCGAAATGAAATTTTGACAGCATATATGTAGTTTAACTGAAAGCATTTTATAAAAATATATAGAATTATACAGGATGTCCCCAAAAAAAGTTACATATCAAAGTTGTGTTTTTTCTAATGGAACATCCTATATATTAATTGATTTCTAGGAAAATAATCGGATTCTAGGAAAAAATTAAAGGTGAGTTTATTAAACAAGCATATACCTAAAATCTAAGGATTTTTACATATTTCACATTTTGTGAAAATGAAGACTAAATTTTAAATTTCGATAACAGCTACCTAAATTTTAGTTGACCTTGTATAACCTGATATTTAATTACAGTAACTACTGTATGTTAAACCAAATTGAAATTTGACCCGAAAAGTTATACAGGGTGACACAAAATTAATATGGAACATTAGTCACTTTTAAAAGCAAGTTACTCCTTTATTTTAAATGGAACACCCAGTATATTTTTCCGGTATTCAGTGGGTTATTTATATATCATCAAAATATTATAAAGGTTGCCTACCCCTCAGATAAACATTTTCCAAGATATTTTAATTTTTATGATTTTGCGTCAGTAAATCTTTATTATTTGAAAAAATCTAATGGCTGTGTGATATACCTTTTGTTAATTTAACAAAAATTAAAGATTCTAGAGTAAAATACTCAAGGGTAATAAAAGGATACACATTTAAAACATATTTTAATTATTACAGAATTAAAACTAGATATAAATCTATAATTATGCGACAAAAATTATCTAGATGAAATCAAATGCTCAAAATGCTTCCTTTCCTGTTAACTGCATTGCCTTTTCAAAAGGATTTTTTCATTTTAAAAGGCATATGTGGAGTTCTACCTAGAAAAGCAGCTACAATAATTTCTCTTATGTTGTCGACACTAGTTTGTCGAGTTTTGTAAACACTGTCTTTAACATATCCCCATAAAAAAACAGACTAGATAAAATCAGGAGCATTTAAGTATTATATTAATTGGTGAATGCACACTGCATTAACAAACTAATAGAATCATATCAGTTCTTTCTGATGTAGGATAAGTTTGCATTTTCGGCAAATTTCTGAGAAATGTTTTTATTTTAACTGAGACAAAATGATAACTAGTTACTAAAGTTGGACTAATTAGACAGCTATGTTGATTAAAGTCAGACATATTACCAGCCACCTAGTTTTTATCAAATAATAAAGATCTACTCAGATCAAATCATGTAAATGAAAATATCTAGGAAAATCTTTGTTTGAGGGGTAGGCAACCTCAATAGTATTTTGAAGAGACATGAATCTTCCATTGAATATCGGAGTAATATACTGGGTGTTCCATTTAAAATACGAGAGTAACATACTTTCATAGGTGACCAATGTTCAATATTAATTTTGTCTCACACTGTATAACTTTTTGGATTAAGTTTTAAAAAAATGTAAATGTTAAATATGTCAAAAACCTTACATTTTAGTCATATACTTCTCTTATAAAACTTACCTTTATTTTTCTACCAGAATGCGAAAATCAATTAATATGTAGGGTGTTCCATTACAAAAAACACAACTTTGATATGTAACTTTTTTGGGGACACCCTGTATAACTCTCTATATTTTCAAAAAGTGCTCTGAATTAACCTACATATATGCTCACAAAATGAAATTTCAATACAAACTGTCGTTCTCCTTCGAGCCTCCGCGGCGTATGAGAGGCGCCATCCTTTATACACCCAAAATTCAAGATGCCAAAATATTTTGAGTTACCGCATACTATATACGTTCATACCCTCTTTAGTTAACAATTTTTTTAACATTTTATTTCAGAGGACATTTCAGATTTAATACCGTTATCAGTTTATTAAGAAAAAACTGGTTATTAGATTCTAATCTAGTTTACGTCAGTAAAAAATAAGTGTTGTCTAGGTCGTATAAATTTAAAAGATTTTAAACCCATTATTCATTCGTTTCTCTTTCTTAATCTCTAATTAATATATGGGTGCCGCATTAATATGAATTAAAAGGTTACTAACCTGCGAAAGCGCTGGCGACTGCCGCAACTAGAAAGGATAAACAAACTGCGGGTCCGGCGACGGTTTTGGCGACAGATCCGGCCAATACGTACACTCCAAGACCTAAAAATAAAAATAATGTTGTCCTTTAATTACCAATTTATGAAGACTTATTCTTTAATAAAAATAAGCAAAGAACCTATGCTCATCGTTCATCAATTCTTCGATGAACATTGTTCGAGAATTCAAGAATCGATGTTCATCGTTCATCGAATCGTCATTTGAAAGCTAATTATATCATAGGGCCGTATAATAACACAGCATAGGGCTTCAAATAAAAATAGTATACTATACTATATGCAGAATTTCATGCTGAATATAATATATTCAAGAATAATTCCGCACAGAAAGTTGGGGGTACTGTTTAACAAAACTTACAACCAGGGCCGCGTTAAGGTGATTTGGAACCCTAGGCCCCATTTATTTTGCCGCCCCCTTCAACTAATAAAAATTCAAGTAAAATTTGTTATATGTACGTAATATTGTCAATAAATGGAAATATTTCATAGAGTTTAAAAAAAAATTATGCTTTTTTTGAAAAATTGATATAACATGTTATGGAATAACTGTCAGGCAAATGCAAAAAGCCCACTTTACTTGAATATCCATATGTATTTTCTTACAGTGATTTAATAACTTTGAAACTAAAAATTCATATATATTTTTGAATTGATTGCGGGACAGTAAAGTAAAATTACTGCATTGGAATATAATTTATTGGATTCACTTGTGTCATTCATACGAAAAAATCAATTTATTATTTTTATTTGCGTAAATTAATTGAAAATGTGTCATATTTTTGAAGTCTCTGTATATTTAAGAAACTTGATAAATAGATCCTAAATCAAATTTTTGTCTTTCACTTTTTTGGCTATTTAGTCCATCATGATTAGTATATCATTGTAGATGTTTAATAATGAAATTTTGAACGTGCCGAAGAAAATCGGTAGAAACAGTTTTTTCATTAACTAAATTATAAAATATTTCCCCATTTGTTGCAATTTTTTTGTACTACCTATATTTTTATTTTGAAGGGATTAATGTAAAAACTAATGTTAACTCCATAAAAACAGCTTTGTAACACTAATTAGTGACAATAAAAATACACAAAAATGTAAAATAATAATGTTAAGCTAAAAATTATAAAATATAGAAGGGTTTTTCCATGATATTTCTTTGTCAAAGTTGTTCGAATCTTCTTTTCTTATAAAAATCTATGTCCACTAATTGATGTTAAAAAATATTTAATACATATTTGATTTTAATAATTCAAAATTAATATAATATTGTGGCAGTATGTTTTATTTTCAAACTGTTTTCCGAGTTGTTTTCATTAAAAAAATTCCGCCCCCCATCCGCCTGCCGCCCTAGGCAGCTGCTTATCTTGCCTAATGAATAAAACGGCCCTGCTTACAACTTTATAATTACTTTGTTTTTAGGCACCCTATACAACATTTTTTTTAGGATGTGCCCATTTATATACCATGCAACATTTATATAAAACTATTTTCAAACCTTCGTCAACAACAACGATATTGAGGCTCCCTCACAGTAGCGTAACTTCAATTGTGAGCCCCCCCCGCAAGATTTTTTGGGGCCCTTAAATTAAAATAAAAAAAACACACTAAAAAACATAATATAGCTTTATGTAGGTTTTACTTGGCTAAAAAATATGTGTTTAAAATTAAAATATACTACATTATTAAGGTAACAATGTAGCTTAAAAATTAAATCAAGTTATTTTTCATTTTTCCCTTTTATTTTTGGAAATTTTAGGGGACGCTGTTCACATATATATGTATTTAGTAAATAAAATGTGATGCCCCTGCGAGGCCCCCAATATCACGAGGCTCCCCCGCCGTTGCGGGTGCTGCGGGGCCTACGCTACGCTACTGCTCCCTCAGACTAATGGGCAACCCTGTGTATAGGTATAGTGTTTTGAATCTTCTAAATCACAGCTTTCTGTAAAGACATGAATTAAAAATTGGAAAATATATTCATTATAGGTTGCAGGCATAGCTCTTAAAAACATGAGAATACAAGACGTGTTTAGAATTATTGATAAGTAGTAAATAATAATTATTATGTATAATAATTAGTCCAATAATAGTCCGCAATAGTCCACCCTATCTTGGTTGCCCTGTGTACTTCGTATCACTATGTAATGTATATTAAAATAAAATGCTTCTTAGTCCTTTTCGATATTTCAGTCATTTAATTTCATCATTCATCGTTGTCTACAACTTTCAAACCCATATAGTATTGGAACTGCATTCCAATACTGTATGGTTAAAATTTCAATTATTACAAAATGTTACTAAACAGCTGGTTAAGACATATATTGCTGATTGGATATTAAGAAATAGAAGAGATTATAAATTATTGAGAGATAAAATTATATTTCCAGTACAATAATGAAGAATGCAAAAAATATTTTCTGATATTTTTTTCCCATCGTTATTTATCTACGCTTTCAATATCTCACAATTTAATATGCTTTTTAGTAAAACTGTGCTTTAACCGGCCTGTAGCTACGAAAAAAAGTGCAAAAAAATGAAGCAATGCAAAGCAGAATCACACCTGTATTGATATAAAAAATAAATCTTATTTTTACGTGAGGAATCTCCCCACGAGAGATGGCACATGTTTTTTGAAACATCCTGTAGAATTGAGTGCATGATGATATTTTTACCTTATACTTTTTACCTTAGATTATTTTATACGATCAAATAATGTCATTTCTAGAATGAAAACCTCGATGAAAACAACAACATAGAAAGATAGACTTTATGGTACCATAAATAGTAGATAAGTTTTTTTCATGTGGTGACTGTGCCCACCCTCATTAAGAACTCACGAGCCGCTGCTGGTTGAATGAACAGTTCGCTTGTTGCAGTACCTACCAACTACCAATAATAAAATAATTCTATTTTTAAAAATTAAATAGTACCTAGAGTAGATCCTACACCTAGAGCTGTCAAGTCCAAGAGGTTTAAACACCTCGCCATCTCACTTCCAGATCCATCGGAATCAGTTTTTCGACGTGTCAGACCTTTAAAAAACTTAGTAGCCATCTGAAAAAAAGAAATTATAGATATACTTTACAGTTTATAGCTAATAAAATAGTTTTCAACATATGTTGTATACCGGGTGTTCTTCAAAAGTGGCTTCAACAGTTATAGGGTTAATTGCAGATTTTTTCCGATAAAATACTGAAAGTTGGTATGATTGTGTTAGTACATGCCATAACTCAGGATTGATTGACGTATTCAATCATTTTCAGTCACTTCCTGTTTCACCCAAAATGACTATTGAAAAGATTGAGTTATGATTAAAAATGTGATTTTCACGAAAAACATTAGACGATCAAATCTATTTTTCCAAGGATTCTTGATTAAAAATTAGTGGATTTAACATAGCACTCAAAAAATAAAACTAATTTAAAACTCAATTTTTTTAAATTAAAAATGTCAATAGTTGACATATTTGTGATATGTCATTCTATTCAGAATATAATTATCTAAGAAATAAAGTAAAAAATACTTCGTGTTATCATCATTTTTTCGAAGAAAAATTTATGATTAATTTTAAAAAAATAAAAAGTTCCCAAATTAATAATTTATTCAATCAAATAACTATCTACTCAATATGTTTATTTATTGTCAATAATGACATGTATTGACTATTTCCATTCTAAACATCCTTAAGAACGGTTGCTCGCAGCGATTTTTAAAAAATCACGGAAATGTATATTTTTTCACTCGATAGTTTATACAGGTACGGACGAAAAGTTATTACTCTTCAAAACAGTTAAAACTCAAAGATTAAAACCTATGTAGGTGGTGCCCCCTACAAACAGCAGTCATATTGACATCAAAATCAAATTTCTCATGTCAAAAACCAATTTGTGTCCAAATATTGACGGTACTTCAGAAATTATATGAAAACAATCGAAATAAAAATTAAACTTCCACATCCTGTATCTCCGAAACTAAGCATTTTAGGACATAATTCTAAAATAATCATTTAAAGTTTTATTTGCATTAAATTACCAAAAATATATACTGTTTATTTAAAGGTTTTCAATGTAGCAAGTGCATCTAGTAAAAATCTATTAAAAAAATGCAAGACTTGCAAGAGTATTTTATTTAGTAAGACAAAGACTAAAAACAAGGCAGTCATGGTTTTGCATTTGGTCATCACTATATGTCATTTATACGTTTTTTTTTTCTGTATAATTGTAATAGTTTTATTTTTTGGTAATCTGTTGATTTTTAAAATTCACACACATAGACGTCAAATCCACTTAATTTTTTCTCTTTTTCAAAATTATTCTAATGTAATACACATACATTTGGAATATATATTTCAAAAATTAATATAACATTGTTTATTGTTCTAAAGCATTAATATTATCAAACAGTTATATGTCGAACAAAGATGAACCTGTATTTTTTGTTTATTCAGTTATGCGTGCAAATTTTAGTACGCGTGAAGTCTCTATGTTATAATAAAATAAATGATGATATACATCATTTGTTGAGATTGTTGTAAAATTAGTTTTGATACTATTGTAAATACTGACAATTTTCTATGTCTAGCGTGCATATGTGGTGCGATGTTTATGGCCCCCGGAAAACCAAATTGTAGTTAATTTCTTTATTACTTTTCTGTAATTAAAGGCATTTTTCTATACATACTATAATAAAAGACGATTTATATTTTTGAGATCTTTATAACAATAATTCACAAAAATCACAAAAAAATAAAAAATGTAATTTCAAAAAAAAATTAAAAGTATGGTCTGTGCAATATGAATATGAAAAAATAAATAAGTAAAAAGGGAATAACATTATTAGTGATTATATTATTAGTATACTACTTAGGTTATAGCTCAACACATGACAATTATAAATAATTTAATTGATACCTGAATAAAGCTATGATTACTGTGATATTGTGATATCAAAAACAGTTAAAATCAAGATTATCTTGATAGTTAAAGAGGTATACGGGGATTTTGAAAATACGATATACCTACTTGAAATTTACAGTGTATTTTCTAGTACCTCCCCTACCCTGTAGGCACGTCGATTTCTTTTGAGAATTTTCTTGAACCTAGATATTGAGATATTGATGCACAAAGTCATACATTTTAACATGGCATTAGACTGGAGCGCATAAGAGAGGTATAATGGGGTAATTACCCATCCAAAGAAGAAATTTATAAATAAGATAATATGTAGTATTAAATAAAACTATCTCAAAAGATATGAATAATACTAATCAAAATAAAAATCTACACCAATCTAAATTTAACGAATATCCTCCCCAAAATGAGGGAATCAAAAATACTCACAATCTTATATATAAAATAATATATTATTTTTTTTTACAAATAGGGGGTGGGGTTCGAGACGGTGAAGTCTTCACCGTCTTATTTTCAGGCCCATCTTATTTTCAGGCCCAAGCTAAAATATCAGAGAAAACATTCAAAAAGAAGTAAAAAACTTCATATAATAACAGTCAAATAAACACAAGTCAAGTATTAAAAGGACCAAAAGACCAAGGACGGGGAATGGTTGTAAGTTGTAAATGACTTTTATCTTATACATTAGAAATTAAGGGTATTTACTTGATGATTAATGATTAGAATGGTTATTGACAGATTCAGTACTATAGGAGAATTTTTAGGTTAGGGGCTTCGAACATCCTCAAAAAGAAAATTCGACTCCTCCAACTGCCAGTGGATGACATACCAAGAATTTACAACTTTGATAAACACCTCACTGTAGTATTCAGCAAAAAAAAAAGGATTGGAAGAGATAAATATTTGCTCAGCATGTAAAAGACCATACTTGACCATACCATAACGAAGGCGCGTGCGGTCCATGGATGTATACCATGATGTATACCATGACCCATTATTACCTATGGAGCAGTTGCTTGGTATACAAAACTAGAGCAACGTACAGCAAGGCAAAACCTGTGCAAAGTACAGAGACTGGCATGTATCTGCATCACAGGTGCCATGAGAACATGTCTGACAGCAGCAATGGAGGTCATTTTAGACCTAACATCCCTGCATATTGTCGTCGGTAGTTATGCCAATGCGACAATGATTAGAATAGTCACTGACGGAAACAGTACTGGGAAAATTTTCAGGTCAGGGGCTTGGAACACCGTCAAAAAGAAAATTCCACTTCTCCCACTCCCAGTGGATGACATACCAAAAATTTACATCTTTGATAAACACCTCACTGTAGTATTCAGCAAAATAAAAGGATTGGAAGAGATAAATATTTGCTCAGCATGTAAAAGACCATACTTGACCATACCATAACGAAGGCGCGTGCGGTCCATGGAAGCGGGGGTTCCCTATCCGTTGAGACCAAGCTTTTTAATTAATAATTCATAGCATGTAATATGAATCTAGGTAGTGGTTTATATGTGATCTGTTAAACATATTTTTCGACTTTTTTTTATTAACTTTATCTAATCGCTTCCACGTGGTATACTGATGCTTCCAAAACCAAAGCAGGGACAGGGATAGGAGTATTTGACCCGAAAACTAAATACTCCGAACTAATGGGCACCTACCCCAGCATCCTTCAGGCAGAAATCTGCACTATCGAAAGATGCGTACAATATATCTTACATAGGAACTATCGAAAACAGGAAATAACCAATAGAATTATCCTAGAGAAGCTGAACAAATGCCTAGAGAAACTGAACAAATTAGGCAAAGAAAATAAAGCCCTTCTACTCTGGGTGCCCGCTTACCAAGGGATAGAAGGCAATGAAAAAGCAAACGATCCAGCTAGAATAGGATTGAACACACAACTGCACCAGAATCGTTCTGCTTTCCAACTTTCCAAGAGGAAACGAACTTAAAGCGGAAATGAAGAACCTAGAAGACTCCATCCGTAACCTGGGAATCCTCCAAAACGGTCTAAGACACTCGAAAAAGTTCCTCAGAACTTGCGGTTGCGGCCGGCAAAAATCAAGGATTTTTCTTGAATTAAGTAAAAACAATCTTCGGATTATCACGAGGTTTCTAACATGACACTGTCTCCTCAACCAACACCTCAGTAAATTGAAGCTGAAAAACAACAGCGAATGCAGATTCTGTAGGGAAAATGCGAACACACCAGAACACCTTATCACTGAGTGCGCCGAAACGTCAATCGTTCGTGCTATAAACTTTGGTACAGCTAATGGCGAAGATGGAGAGCTGGCTTCTATGGAGCCGTCTCAGATACTGGCTTTTGTCAAAGGCCTGAGACTGGTATGATAAGTTATAACTCGATATAACTCGTTATAACTCAAGAAAGGGGAACACACAATAAGTAAGGTTGCGATATTAACCCCCCTCAACATTCAATTTAAACATTTTTTTTATAATTTAACAGGTGGCAACCCTAGGGCCCCCCCTGCGACCCTGGCTCCCCTCCCAAAACCCAACAAACTCTCTTAAGTTTTGTCGGTTCTGAGAAGAACCCTTGATGATTATTTCTCATGTTGGTTCGTACACTTCGGTCCGGTGGTGGAAGGATTGGCCGTCTAAAAGAAGACGTTTCCAGGGGACGCCAACAATAGTATTTTTTGTTTACTAATTTTGATACACTATTGCAATCGTGGAGGCTCCTTCCATGTCCCCCATCATTGTTACTATTGATAATTGTCGGACAATTTATCGAAAATTAATTGGAAGATTTAAAACTGTTTTAATTGACTATTATTACGCGGATAATTATTAATTTATTATAAATTATTTTTGAAAAATAAATGTTAATAAATTTGCAAATATATATTTTTAAAAAATTTCTTTCTATTTTTTAATGTATTACTTTATAGTGTCAAAATAATTAGCATTTTCTGTTAATTTTTGTTTTAAAGAAACCAAATAAAATTAATTCTTGTTCATTGTAATGTAGAAAAATATTGATAAGGAATCAATAAAAACAGTAAAATATATGTGTTCTGAGAAATATAATTAAGAAACACCAGTTTTTAGTTTTCCTAATAGCGCGTATACATCAAAGGCTAAATAAACTTAAAGAAATGATAATAA